TTGTTCTGTGGAGAAAAAAAAAATTGTGTATTTCCACACCTCTGTAAACATTCATTTGAAATGCTTTGGGAACGAGGTTCAATCCTAGATGCTGACGGTTTGTTTTCCGTTGGTTTAAACAGTGGTACCGATAGCTGACAGTTCATAAGCAATGTAAAACTACTAAATGTAACATTTATTTAGAAAAATCATAACATCCAAAAAATGATTGGGTTATCCATGTCAGTCTTCTCTCTCTCTCTCTCTCTCTCTCTCTCTCTCTCTCTCTCTCTCTCTCTCTCTCTCTCTCTCTCTCTCTCTCTCTCTCTCTGTCTCTCTCTCTCCCCTCTCTTTCTCTCTCTGTCACCTAAATGAAGCTCGTTCTGTCTCCACCTCAACATTCATACTGTGAAATTTATTTATGCTAATCAACATTCATTTCTGATGTTTTCATACCACCTCCTTTACTTCCAAACACAAAGGAACATCTCATGCAAACCAAATTCCCATTTGATGCTACCAGTGCAACACATGGGTCACTCACAGCAAGCAAAAAAGATTGTTAGCAGAGAAATGAGGCGTTCGAAAAGGGCTGCCGAAGGGCTGACCGAAAAAGAAAACAATCGGGAAACAGGTTATAAGACAAAATGTCGGCACAAAACAGGTTCTGAATTACATGCAAAGACAGCAAATAAAATTTTACAGCCACTTAGAGAGAAGACTTCGTGATGCCATTCACTAACACAGTAGAAGGTCGTAGAACACGAAGTAGACCATAAACAAATTGGGACAGCATCAGAGAAACTCTGCATCAGCACGACGTGTCTCAGGTCGAGGCGGCCCCAAGAGCAAGAAGCAGACGTGTACATCTCACTCGATACTAGAAGCGATAACGAGAAAAACAAAAATGCAGAAGAGGCGCCGAAGAAGAAGCCAAGAAAGTGAAAAAATAAGCTAAAGTCAAATACAAGAAGAACAAGGAGAAGAAGAAAAAGAATACGAATAAGAAAAAAAAAAAAGAAAAAAAAAGAGAAAAAGAAGAAGAAGAAGAGGAAGAAGAAGAAGAAGCAGAAGAAGAAGAAGAAGAAGAAGAAGAAGAAGAAGAAGAAGAAGAAGAAGAAGAAGAAGAAGAGGAAGAGAGAAGAAGAAGAAGAAGAAGAAGAAGAAGAAGAAGAAAAAAGAAGAAGAAGAAGAAGAAGAAGAAGAAAAAGAAGAAGAAGAAGAAGAAGAAGAAGAAGAAGAAGAAGAAGAAGAAGAAGAAGAAGAAGAAGAAGAAAAAGAAGATCAAGAAGAAGAAGAAGAAGGAAGAAGAAGAAGAAGAAGAAAAAGAAGAAGAGAAGAAGAAGAAGAAGAAGAAGAAGAAGAAGAAGAAGAAGAAGAAGAAGAAGAAGAAGAAGAAGAAGAAGAAGAAGAAGAAGAAGAAGAAGAAGAAGAAGAAGAAGAAGAAGAAGAAGAAGAAGAAGAAGAAGCAGCAGCAGCAGCAACAACAACAACTACAACAAAAGAAGAAAAGACTTCTCAGAATTCTTTCTAAAAAAAAAGTTTAAAAAGTAAAAGAGCCTTTACTTGCCATGATTGCACCCCGTAGCCACTCAAGTCTGGGTAGACCTGATAGCCGAGGTCATTTGTGAAAACAAGTTTGGCTCCGTCAGGGCCCGAACCCAGGACCTTCCCATTAGCATGGGAGCCTGTAGCCGCTACATCATGGAGGGTCCCATATGTCTTTATACACATATTATATAGCCTCGACCTGATGGCAGGGTGACTTTAAACTATATTTCCGCGTTCCGTTAGTATTTGAACACTAAAGCATACACATTAATGCACAATTCTGACTCGTATATTAATGCGTGTTTCCATGCTATTTTATACCTTCTTCTACACACGGCTGGTTGTCATTTTTTATTTTTAACAACGGCCATTTGTTTCTATAAACCTGCCAGAATTCGGTGGCTCTGGAAGCCAAGTTTTAATAATTCTGTCAACGTGGTATTTCTTATAGCACCTGCCTGTGCATTCCTGATTTGAAAGCGTTCCTGTGTGTAGGATGTAACAGAGGGTTCATTTATGCTTCAAACAGAGCTTTGGAAGGAGAAAATAGCATCTTTATAGTTAACATCGGGGTTATCTGGTATACTCGAAATTTATCACAGGATTTAACGACGCCAAAAGAATATCATAGGGAAATTATCATTCATGTAGAATATTATAGTGTTATAGCGAGGTCCCGCCCATGTATTACAGAGGTTTCAAAGGGGAAGCCAAGGATAAAGTATCGTACATGTCGCAAGAGGTGATTATGGAAGTTGGCTACCCATCTATAGAAAATATACATTAAAAGTATGAACAACTCTAGAGAGGGCTTGTCAATGTCTTGGATAAAGAGACTGATACTACTGATACTCATAATGTAACTATAATATTATTTTTAATAATAATAAAAATAATAAACAAAGAAAAAAGAAGAAGAAGAAGAGGAAGGAAGAAGAAGAAGAAGAAGAAGAAGAAGAAGAAGAAGAAGAAGAAGAAGAAGAAGAAGAAGAAGAAGAAGAAGAAGAAGAAGAAGAAGAAGAAGAAGAAGAAGAAGAAGAAGAAGAAGAAGAAGAAGAAGAAGAAGAAGAAGAAGAAGAAGAAGAAAAGAAGAAGAAGAAGAAGAAGAAGAAGAAAAAAAGAAGCAGAAGCAGCAGCAGAAGAAGAAGAAGAAGAAGAAGAAGAGAAGAAGAAGAAGAAGAAGAAGAAGAAGAAGAAGAAGAAGAAGAAGAAGAAGAAGAAGAAGAAAAAGAAAAAGAAGAAGAAGAAGAAGAAGAAGATAGAAACCAAACATAGAAAAGCCGTAGGTCTCATAATCTTACATACACTTTTCTGAAATGCGTGATAGAAAGCGAGAATGATCTCACGTAGTGCTTAGCATGCATGCTTGTCCACTCCAGGATCAAACTTTTCCCACTAGCTACAGGGATAATTGTTTCATTTTAATTGCTATGGGTTTGACGTCGACTATACCAACATGAGATCCTGAAAATGTCCTGGTAAATGCACGTTCTACATCTTCCATCTGACGTTATCCATGTGACCAGATGCCTAAACATCTGTACTAGTCTCGCTAGTTTTATTCTGGGACAAGTAGAGCAATAAAAGTATCGAGGCACATGGTTAGTATCAGATGGAAGATGTCTCACACAGGTAAATAGCAAAATAGGGCGCTCCCCTACCACCAATTTTAAAGAAAACTGCATTTTCTAAGATGAAGAATCTTTTATTACTGCAACACATCCCTGTCAGGGGAGGTTAGAGCAATAATTCCCGCATGCTAAATAAAGCAAGTTTTTTTTTTTAAACCTATGATTGTGAAGAATGAACGAAAGAAACACTTTATTGAGGCCACAGATATGTGATTTTACAGAAGAATGCTTGTAACCCATTGCACAGTCAGAATGAGTAGCCTTGGTGTTTTGAAAGCAGCAAGTGACCGAAGGCAACAGAAACATCTAAAGGGGACAGTCATAGTTTGGTCATGCCATTGAGGGGAAAAACTAGAACATGTTGTTCCACTGGATAGACATCAACGTGACTGCTTCGGGATACGTCAGTTAATTGATTTTGTGTATTTGTGTGTAATTTATGTATCTGCTGATGAAAGCTCTGAAGCCGCAACGTTCAATTTTCGTTTGTGTTTGTTATATTATGCAGCTCGCTAATCTACTTTTCATTTATTTTTATATCATTCCTAGAACACGTGGTCGCTGTTAGGGAAAAACGATGAAAAGACAGATGAATACAACGTACACAGTCTTGACAGCCTTGACATAAAGATGTGTCAGCTTAAAAACTGATGAATGGAGATTGAAAGATACAGAGGGGCTTGATCTCCCACGCCAGTCGTCAAGAACTTCATGACGATGAAATAATTATGGTCTACACAGCACGATCACATCTCCCATAAGCCGTAGATTTCTAAATGCAGTCACAGAGCTATCACTGCAACCCAACAAACACTGAGTATTGTAAAAGATCTTTACTTGATGAAACAGTGAAATTTAACAACGAAACTGTTAATTTTGTTACTGAGGAGTTTATTAATGTTCACATTGATGATGAATGAGAAAAAAAAATTGTGACGTTCTTAAAAAGACTAAACATGTTAAGTTATTTCGCGTCATTTCCCTTGGGGACGGCATTCGTACAACGAATTAACCTAAACACAAGCAACGAAGACGAGTCTAGCTTTCCTTGATCTTTTCAAGAGCCAACCTCTTGTGGGTTCCGGAGTCCCATTTTGGGGCAGGCACACACACACACACACACACACACACACACAAAACCGAATAGACCCACTGCCCGTTTGTGAGCATGTTATAAAGTCGACTAATCAAAGGTGTTTCAGTTGAAATTGGAGTGCAGCTGCATGAGAGGCCAGCAACAGACCGTATGCATACACAAACGCTAGATGTCTAAAATGGATGTGCATGCAAAGTTGAAGTCTAGAACAAGACCAAAGTCCTGATGTCGATGAACCATCATGACATTCCACCGATGTTTACAGATGATGCATGCCAAGACAAAAACAGAGGAAGAAAAAAAAAGACAAAGAATAAGACGAAGAAGAAGAAGAAGAAGAAGAAGAAGAAGAAGAAGAAGAAGAAGAAGAAGAAGAAGAAGAAGAAGAAGAAGAAGAAGAAGAAAAAGAAGAAAAGAAGAAAGAAGAAAGAAAGAAGAAGAAGAAGAAGAAGAAGAAGAAGAAGAAGAAGAAGAAGAAGAAGAAGAAGAAGAAGAAAGAAGAGGAGAGGAAGAAGAAGAAGAAAAAGAAGAGGAAGAAAGAATAACGTACGGACAATAAATAAAGTCCTGACTGTCATGAAAAAAAAAAAATCAAGATCTATGCAATAACGTACTGTGTAAAGTCTATCTGCCACACACTGAAATCACACGACAGTTTCATATATTAGATTTAATTCAGGATGAAAAAATCTATGATCTTGTAAACAACTACAGAATGATTATTTAATATGTATTAAATATGTTTAGAATTTATCTTCACTGCAACTGACATAACGCTGTATCCTGTACTTCTTGACATCTTTAGCGTGGCAATCTACAATCTTGACCCTTCTCTTTGGCGTGATGCCGTCTTGGTCCACTTCAATCTCATTTAACTTGTCAAGAAGTTCCTGAAGATGAAAAACATATTCTTTCAAGATTAGCAACATACCATATCTTATTACGTTATCTATACATTTCTAGTTGCATTAAAAATGTTATATAAATAGTATATTTAACTATGTATTATTGCTGTAATCAGCATCATCAATGTATTTTGCATTTAAGTAAACTCGATCGCTCAGCTTTTGATAACAAGTAAGTCCCTGAAAGATAAATCAAACAACTGCTCTGCTAACCATACAGACAATTAACTCATTTTGAATCAACAATGCAACCAGTTAACCAACAAAAACAATCAATTAAAAATTTAACCACCCATCCAGTCAACTAACGATACAATGAAACGATAAAACCTAGGTGTATTTAACACAGAGATTACAGTGATATAGGCTAGCCACTCCTGAAAGAGTCCACAACCCTCCTTGGATCCGCTTTAACAGGCTAGCTGGCTCGTTCTCACTTAAGAGCCTTGACTTGTAACACAGCTTTGTCTAATATTTTCAAGTTACGACCTTTGCCACAAGGTGCCACTAGTCTTCTTGTCACACAGAAACATTTTGTATCACGCATGTGTTAGAGTTTCTACTAAAAGACGTGTGTGAATGTTTATGGGGAAACCAGTACTTGGAGATAGTGATTACAAATAATCTTGATTCTAGCTCTAGGTAAGTTCGTTATTGTCATGTGCTAACGAAAGTTTTGTAACGACAACGTTTATTTGTCGTTTGCGACTGTGATAATATGAGGTTGTCTAGTTCTACGAAATTACTGGACGTAAATTTGCCTAGAAAAACCACACAACAGCCAGGGGCTGTTGGGGTTGGTTCTGCAAAGTCCTGTAAAGGATACGCAGCTAACCTAACCAAGTTCTATTTCTTGTGTTGGCTTGATGTTTTTTTCAGGCTATTCAGCTTGTCATTCAACACACAACCAATAATCAACCACCGAACTAACCATGTATCCAACAGATTAAAAACAAAACCAACAAATCGTCCAAACAACAAACATTTTTCTAACTAACCAGTCATCCATCCAACCAATTTTTAGAACAAACGATCAGATAAATATGTAAATGCAGTTAAACAAAAATAATACAAACTGAACACCTCCACCCCCTCCCTCTATTCCCCCACCCCACCCCCCAGTTTGACCACAATATTCAAGTGTACAACCCTACCAGAGATTCCTTGCCAACAACTTGTCCAAAGCCGACGTGCATGTTGTCCAGATACCGCCATGGATTGAAGAGGATGAAGAACTGAGAGCCGTTGCTGTTAGGTCCCCGGTTGGCCATGCCAACAGTTCCTTTCTCTCCGAAGCCAATATCAAAGTTTTCGTCGTAGAATGTGTCTCCGTACATGCTGATTCCTAATGTAAGAGTATTTACATTTGTAACAAATGCTTATACACACTTACCAAGTAACATCGTTGGATAGATAATTATAACAGACACTGCACACATTCATTTATCAAGAAAGATTGCTAAAAAGATTGTTGCTACACATGCTTGAATACATTCATCAACATTTCCTTAGATGGTAAATGTTACCTCAAATCGACATTTTCTTTCTGCCATATTTGATGCCCTATAAAAACATTAGAGTGGTACCTCGGAATTCGAACGACTCAGAACACAAATAACTTGGAATCCAAATGAAAATTTCAAGTACATTTTGCTATCTCCAGAGTCGAAGTAAATCTGCCTGTGAGACAAGGAACCAACACTTTGCATATAAACAAGCAAAATCTGTAAAACGGATGCACAGGCAAAATTCAAGTCCTAAATTCCAGAAATCAATGAACAACCAGGCCTTTCCGCCGAAGCTCACAGCTGGTGAAGGCAAACAAACAAACAATATGTAAATTTAGCCTTGGAACTTTCCATCAGAATCTTGCCTCAGTAAGCGAAACCATGGCACGTACCAATCACGTTACTCAACTGGAAACGTAAGAGCTTCAGCACCTTCGCCATAAGAAAGAAACTGCAGAAGGTTCTTTCGGCGAAGCTGGGAGGTTCATCACTGCTGAGATCCAAGATCTGTAGTGGCCGGGTGGCCGAAAACTCAAGAAGTTGTTGAGAGGTGGCATCCTGAGATAGTGCCTACTAACATGTGTTACCCTGTGTTAACCTATTCAGTGAAAACATTATCGAATATTAGAAAGGAAAAATAAACCAAAACAAATATCGGCAAGACCAAATCAATTCAGAACTCTGACTCAGCCTGTCAACAAAACCTAGTGAGCCCAAACCCTCTTAAAGCAGTCAAAGACTACGATATGAGTGCTTATTAGACTTATTAGAACGAAGAACATCATTTATATTTGATTGAAACAATTGAAACAACAGCGACTTAAATGGTTTTGCCATCTAATGAAAATGAATCCAGGGGTGCCAGAACCGAGAGGGCACACAGTAGAAAGTACAAAAACCAAAAGGTAGGGTACGACCAAGAAACATTTGAATTCAAGAAGTCATTGATACCATGAGACTTCACAATATCACAGCATACGGGGAAATCGAGGGTTCTCTAGCTCGGATACCTATCATCCGTTAACCTGCGACCCTTAGCGACACAAAGCAGAATGTGGATAACAGAACAAAGAAAAACAACGTGATGGTATTGACGATGATGAAAAGGATAATATACTCACATATGTTTATTGGTACTTGTATTCATGGCAGCAGTTCAATTCATGGCACGGTAGCTTCGATTTTATGTTGTATAGTGTGTTCTTCTATCTTTCTACTTCTTTCTATGAGTGCCGTTCACAATACTTTCTGTTACTTGATAATTCATAATATTTAACGGTCAAATGGTTGTATTCAAACAGTAGCTTCAGTTTTATAGTCTCCTTAGCTCTGAAAACAAATGGCAAAATGAAACTTTGTACTTACCTCCAGTGCCATCTCCTGTAGTCGTGTCCCCACACTGAATGTTCCTGTCAGGAATGATTCTGTGACACTGTGTCCCTGCATACTTGAGCTCTCCCTACAACAGACATCCCGAATGTCATGGTTATAATACCACCATTTCTAACCACATGCCTTAAATATCATGATCTGTATTATCAGCTTACCCGCTACCACTAACTTTGTAATTTTTTTTTTTTTATTCTAGCCATATTTTTCTAAAGCATTTTCGCCAAGTGGACTTGAGTCTACGGTTTCACTGCTTAAAGAGTGGGAGTTAAGAGTTTTGTATAGCACTGTGAGCTGTGTTTTTAGGAAGCGATGTCTTTTGTTTGTGCCCACAGAGACTGCGTTGTGATGCTCAGAAAATTTCGGGTAGGTGGTTTGCGTTTGGGCTGCCTAAATACCTTATGCAATAATTGTGTATGTGTATGACTAGCTTATCCAAGCTGACTACTAACTTCCCTTGACAACTGCAGTTCTAGTGGCGACCGTTGGAGTTGGAATCTCTAGTCTTATGCATTTTATTCATGTGTAGGCTTCTGGATTTTGTCGGGATTAATTTATTGTCCAGTAGATTCTATATGAGAAAGTAAGGGACATTTTATGTGACGTTTCAACAGCACTTGAAGTGAGAAACTATTGGTGACCCGTTTTGGCAGTTGCGTTGAAACCTCGACCATAACTATGACTGGAAACTGAACCGTATTTTAGATGTGCAGATCTTTGATGATTATGCACATGTCTCAGATGATACAAGAAAATCAGTAGTCGTTAGTCGCGGTTCCTAATTTATCGCCCAGAGGCCACCCAAAAATCACTGCAACAAATAGTATCAGATCTTTTCTATCTTTTATAGGACATGACTAGATCTGATTGACATTAGACTGGACACCTTTTTTGTGAAATTCGTCAAAGTTATGTTTGTTCGTCCATTTCTAGACCTTGGTCTAGTTTTGCTTGCACATCTGTTTTACAAATAAATACCACATATTTGTCTGCAGACTGTTGGTTTCTCGGCTCTCAGGCAGATGCACTCCGCTTCGAAAGAAATATCCCTAGCCAGTCGACTTTTAGGAAGGCTAGAGGCAATGAGTCTGTCTCTCCCCTCTTTCCAACTCCAGTAAAAAAAAAACTAGAACCAAACGGGGAAAAAGAATTCAACCAGTTTTGCCCTTTTCACCGTTATAATTTCAACCTCTATTTACTCTATAGGTTGTTTTTAACCTTTTTTCCTTATGCTTATGGGTTCTAGTGTAGAGACATCCTAGTTAAATCGTTTTAATGCTTTATTAACGTGTGCAATGTTCTATGCAAGCGTGTATTTTGTTTCTTTACATCTTTATTGACTGGAATTTGCTTAGTTCTCACACAAAGCTCCATATTATTGATTCGAACATACAACATAATTCCCTCTTATCTGCGCAGGCTCCAGGGAATGAATGTTTACAGTTTATTAGTAACTGCTTTATGTGTGCTCCATATTTCAGCTTTATACGTCAGTACTGATTTGAGATTCGAGCTATTTTCAATTTAGTATTGGTAAAAGTCCAAGGTCGACCCAGCCTTAAAGGAGTAATAGGTGAAAAGTGACTAGTCTCTTAAATATGCTCTATATGCCTGAAAAGATGTGAGAAAAGGGTTCTTTACCTTTATTTTATTTTATTTTTTTTAATGTTTTAAAAAACTTCTAGTAAAAGTTAAAAAAAAAAGTAAGTGCCAAAATAGGGAATATATTGCATGAAGGAGTAGGCAAATAACAACAACAAACAGGTGGTCAGTACTCACTGATGGACGTTTGATACCGTTGCAGATGCTGAAGAAGTTGAGAACTGTCATAGGAACTGCTTCTCCAAACAAAGCGATGCGAATTGTCCCGGTGAGATCTCCGTTGGCGTCAAAGTTCTTCACGCTGATCTCGAGCAGTGCCTCTGGAATTTAGAGACACCACAGTTAAAGACATGTAAAGATATAGGTAGTCTGTGTAGGTAAGAATCTGATAAGAATCTTTACTATTTATTACAAAAACGTCATCATCTTTATCATCATTGTGTCATGTCATCATTCGTTATGACCATCATCATCACCACCACTACCACCACCACTATCCCAGCCGACACCATCTTCATTATGATATGAAGTTTTCATGTTTTAATCTCTCCTCTCGTGGTATCTTTGAACCAGTGCGTAGCAAGCTCAGTTGGTAGCCGGTGCGGACAATATCCGGTCACTCCCTGTACACACACACAAACACACACGTGTATGCTAAAAACACATATTTTGGGCATTTCGTCACCATCAATGGTGATACCCGGTGCGGCAGGCACCCGCCACACGCTGCTTGCTACGTCACTGCTTATGTTATCAGATATTCTATAGTATCATGTGTGCACACGCATACAAACACTAGAAACCAGTAAAGTTCTCTTAAACATAGTTCATTATTCATTTACATATTTCGTCATCGCACTTCGGACATGAATGTAATTGCTCCGACCTCCTCCTGCGTTTATCTCGAAGTCATACGCAAACATACACAAGGAGCGAAGATACACAGGTAGGGCAAAACACACACACACACACACACACACACACACACACACACACACAAACGTAGGTGGCAGTAGACTGACCTGCAGTAACTGTCACGTTGGTTTTGTTAGGCTCCCACTCAACAGCCGCTTTCTTCTGGGCGGCGTTTGCCAGTGACCACAATATGGCCACAAAGATGGCCGACGTCAGACACGTGGACTTCATGATCTAACAACAGAAATAACAGTCAAATGACGAGTTCAATGGTGTGGGCAAGAAGGATATGAATGATACAGGTATTCGGGTAGATTGGAAGAAACAGGGTGACATGGGCAGTATTGTATAAAGGGAGATAATCTGAAAGGTTAAAGTATAAGGAGAACTTTGTTGCTGATTTCCCCTGTAAATTCCAGGATCCATTGTAGGGTAGGAAAGAGAAGGAAAAAGGGTGGGGGGGGGGGGGTGTTTTTTTTTATCTAAGTCGACCAATAAGGGATGTTTCCTTCGAAGCTGGAGCGCATCTGCATGAGAAGCGAGGAAATAACAATTTGAACACAAATAAGCACTATCTATAAAACGGATGTGCAAGACTAAATACCAAAAGTGAATGAATAATCAGAACTTTCTGCACGAGCTTAAAGCCGATGACCGTGAAGACGGACAAGAAGAGGTTGCAGACAGGTTGAGAGTTGAGACTCTGTGGAAAAAGGATGTTGAAAACAAGCTATCGCAAAAAGTGTTATCAAATCCCTTAAATCTAATCGTGGACAACTTTTCAGGAAGTTCTGAAGCGACAGAAAGCATTTGAAAAGCACACTTAACCTTCCTTGCCTGAATCTACACACCTCGCCTTGCCAGAGTGACAAGTAACGAAGGCGTGTACCAGCTAACAAGCCCTGTGAGAAGAGACATGGCCAGAGCAGAGGTAATCAACTCCGTATCGACTAGATTAGCAGATAATGATAAATCTCTGACACTAACACGATAGCGTGATATGGAAATAAAGCTTGGTAAATCAAGTCTATGCCACCTTCGAGGTCAATTGATATGGAAATAAAGCTTGGTAAATCAAGTCTATGCCACGTTCAAGGTCGAGTGATATGGAAATAAAGCATGGTAAATCAAATCTATACCACCTTCAAGGTCGAGTGATATGGAAATAAAGCATAGTTAATCAAGTCTATGCCACATGCGAGGTCGAGTGATATGGAAATAAAGCAAGGTAAATCAAGTCTATGCCACATTCGAGGTCGAGTGATATGGAAATAAAGCATGGTAAATCAAGTCTATGCCACATTCGAGGTCGAGTGATATGGAAATAAAGCATGGTAAATCAAGTCTAAGACACCTTCGAGGTCGAGTGATATGGAAATAAAGCATGGTAAATCAAGTCTATACCACATTCGAGGTCGAGTGATATGGAAATAAAGCAAGGTAAATCAAGTCTAAGACACCTTCGAGTTCAAGTGATATGGAAATAAAGCAAGGTAAATCAAGCCTATGCCACGTTCAAGGTCGAGTGATATGGAAATAAAGCATGGTAAATCAAGTCTATACCACATTCGAGGTCGAGTGATATGGAAATAAAGCAAGGTAAATCATGTCTAAGACACCTTCGAGTTCAAGTGATATGGAAATAAAGCAAGGTAAATCAAGCCTATGCCACGTTCAAGGTCGAGTGATATGGAAATAAAGCAAGGTAAATCAAGTCTATGCCACGTTCAAGGTCGAGTGATATGGAAATAAAGCATGGTAAATCAAGTCTATGCCACCTTTGAGGGCGAGTGATATGGAAATAAAGCATAGTAAATCAAGTCTATGCCACATGCGAGGTCGAGTGATATGGAAATAAAGCAAGGTAAATCAAGTTTATGCCACCTTCGAGGTCGAGTGATATGGAAATAAAGCAAGGTAAATCAAGTCTATGACACCTTCAAGGTCGAGTGATATGGAAATAAAGCATAGTAAATCAAGTCTATGCCACATGCGAGGTCGAGTGATATGGAAATAAAGCAAGGTAAATCAAGTCTATGACACCTTCAAGGTCGAGTGATATGGAAATAAAGCAAGGTAAATCAAGTCTATGACACCTTCAAGGTCGAGTGATATGGAAATAAAGCAAGGTAAATCAAGTTTATGCCACCTTCGAGGTCGAGTGATATGGAAATAAAGCAAGGTAAATCAAGTCTATGCCACCTTCGAGGGCGAGTGATATGGAAATAAAGCATGGTAAATCAAGTCTATGCCACCTTCAAAGTCGATATTGGAGACATTTTAACAAGCTCCTCGTGGGAACAATCAATATGGGTACAATGAATGCCTGCTACATCGGAGGACTAATCACGCATGAAAATACCCAAAGTTCAGTGACGTCGATTGTGATGACACAACATAACATCTTCACGCTAGATAAGCATCCTAGTCGCACTCGCCATTTGCTGAGACTTCTATGACTCCATGTAGCGTAGTACAACATTATCGTCTGGACAAACGGAGCGGTGCAAGTCATATGTGTTTAAGAAAATGTAACATAAGTTGCTAGCGTAATTTTTAACATCTGCCTTTACCCTGGATAAATCTTTCTAGTACCTATTATAGGCTTGGCTAGTTTTAAAATCTCCCTTAAAAGGGATACGAACTAATGACTATAGTACTTGAAGATAAACATGTTGTCCATTGCGCTAAAGTTAATCTTAGAATAATTAAAATACACGTCAGTATGTACCCGAGCGGTTTCCAACATTTTCTGAGTCGCTATCTCATTTATAGAGGCTAAGAAAACACAACCGCATACATGGAAAACAGTCTTTTAAATAGGGTAAGTGATAAAAAGTTCGAAGAAAGATTTTCCTGCATTCTGCAAACAAGTCTCTTTACAAGTCACAGTGATGGGATGTTTTTTCCTTTCGAAAAATTGTCACAATAAGCCTACCCCAGATAATGACCAATTAATGGTATTTCCCGCAAAGTCGAAGTGAATCTCCTGAGAGGCAATGAACCAACAGCCTGCATACAATTAAACCAGATTTGCAAGCAAAACTTAAACAGTCAGAAAACACGAATAAAGTTGACAGGACATTGAGAAGGGGAAAAGAAGAAAAACAGGCTATGAGAAGATTAAGATAAAGGAAGACGAAGAAGAAGGAGAATGTGGAGCAAGAGAAGGGTAATCAAAGGGAAGAAAAAGAAGACTAAAGGTACTAAGAGGAAGGTAAATGAAGAGAAGAAGGGAAAAGCAGAGAAGGAAAAGAATATAAAAGTGAAGAGAATAAAGAAGATAACAACAATATAAAACAAAAAAGGAATATTGGCAACACGAATAGAAGAAAAATAATACACATACATAATTGCTAATTATTAATAACTCACAAAGGTTTCATTTACTATAATGTAAATGCTTAAAGCAACAATTAAAATTTTCAACTAACACAAAGAAAACTTTCAAGAAACGTACCTATAGCTTTCTATGTTTGCCTTGTTCTAGTCTGCTCGCTGTTTTTGACGGACCTGAAAAGAAATCACACGAATAAACATGAACATTTAAAACCCGAGTATACGCCACGAATCACCAGCCTGAGACAAACCAATCAAATAGTTCCAATCTGTGTACTGGTCAACAGGGCAGATCGATGAAGAACACGTTACACTAATCCACATCAGAAGAAAGATTGTGTGGATATTTTCAACAACACGACGGTTTGAAACGTCGAGCAACATGTTGCTTCTTTGTCGTTAGACTTAAAACCTGAAACGACAAAGAAATCAAGGAACAAATATTGAAACTTTGATAACACGTCATCTATCTTTACACGTGTGTTTTATACTGAACACGTTTCCAGTCAGTCAGTCTGGATGTGACGTTGATCAAAATCTTTTAGACACGAAACAATTCTTACTTTTATTTTAATGTATAGGTTTCCGACATGGAAAATTGCATTAAAGTTGTAACGATATCTTTTAGTTACATCCCGTTTGTATTGAAAGCAATATCCTCACTGGAAAGATGTACATACCCTTAACAAACTCTGCCAAGTCCTCCTAACATTTGATCGTATTCTGCTCACCTCATACCTTCTCTATCACTCGCTACCTTCCTTCTGCATGTAATATTTTTGTGGGTTGGGGGGGGGGGAATGAAGGGGGTCAAGAAATAAGGATGGGGAAAAGAGGGTGGGGTTGCGGTCTACCTTTATTTCATTTATGCTTACTGGTTTCAGTCTGAAGCACTTGTAGTTGTATTGTTCTTGAGGTGCGACCTATCCAGTTCCACCGCTTTTTCATCACTTTTTGATACACTTGAATGTGTT